CACTTAATGCACTCTTTCTGGCTGTGATGCTATTTTTCCTGTGGATTTTGAAAATGACCTTCCTGTAAGCATCAAGGACTGTAACTTTTCAGATAAAGAAACTTGCTCTTGTTTTAAGTCTATGCCAGGTTCACTCCCCTACAGCCCACAGTTTTCAAAAGCAGAAGAAAAAGTAATCCAGAATTAAAAAAATAAAACCCCCTCTGTTTCCAGAACGAAGTTACCCTGTCAGCTTGCCTTGGGCCTTAGGTGGAGAAGTGGAGATTAAAGAGTCAGTATTCCTTTTCATGTTTCGCCTGCCAGTTTTGTGAATGTAGAAAGAGTACTTGTGGCTGCAGCTAAGTATTCGACTATAGTATTAAGTATGGCATTTTCATCCTCATGCAGTAAATTAAAAATAATCTTACAAGTTTATCGCAAGGGGAATTCAGTATCAATACCATGCAGCCATTGATAAAGGTATTTCAAGGAGAAGGGTGAATAGCACAGCAGATGTAACCTCAATATTTTCATCAATTATAAAGAGCCTCTTTGTGAAGCTGTGTGAATATGTAAGATGATCTCATCATTTCCTATTTACTCAATACTTACCTGAATACGCAATATAGTGTAGCTTTTAAATGCATATGCACATGAGTAAAATGTCCTTTTGTAAGAGACTTTGCTAAAAGACTGCTTTTGATATACAATTTCTTCATCTCCTCTTCAAACTGAATTAAGCTGCTTCCTTCTTTTAAAACACAACTCACTATTTAGAAGCTTTGGCTTTGATTTCTCGGAACAGCCTTACAGGAAGAAACCATGTTCTTTTTCTTTTTGTAACCATGTTTCTGAAGACAAACTTGTACTGATTTATTTTGATTTTCTAACAGAAATAGGTTCCTGCAAAGAACACTGACTGTTTCTTCTTCTTCCCCCTCCTTCACTCCACTTCTACAAGAATATTGCTGTGTGCAAAGCTACCAAGGAAAACTGAAATCCCTCTGTTGGGAACAGTGTACATAGCAATATATTCATACTTTGAGAAATAAGTGAGGGGTTTTTTTAGTTCTTAGCATGACATACTGTGCATTTCTTGACTGCTAACCACTGCATTGAAATTGAGTAACTAGGTAACGTTTCAGCAAATTTTAGTCAAGTTTAGCATCTGCCATTTTAGGCAATGTATCTTTGCTGCTAACGTAAAGGTCACCAGTTTTAAAATATTAACCCTCAGTTGTTACCTTTCATTAAAGGGTTCACAGATATATATGTATATATCAAATTATATTTGTCATCCTATTCCTAGTATTTAAGATTTGTTTCATTCTCCTTTTCAGTTAGACTCACTGTAAAAATTGTTCCTGAGGGCTATTAAGCAGAAACCCACAGTTAGAAACATTTCTCTGTATTTCCACACAACATGGCTTAGTAAAAAGACCTTCTTTTTCCTCTTTCTTTTAAACATGTAACTCCCATTAACGTTTTGGAGACTTATGCCTTGGTTAGCAGAAGAAACTAAGCCTGTAAGAGAAGTCACCTTCCTTGCTATTCTTACAAATGGACTGATACACCCAATTCTGCATATTCATGTGTAACTTCAGCCACATGAGCCATCCTACCGATGTGGTCACAAGTCTCATCTTCTGCTGTACTGCTTTGTATGCCTGACTGGATACTCCGTGTATAATACAAATAGAAATTTAAATCTCTCTGCATTTCTCAGTGTACAAAAATCCAGAGCTGAACCCTTGTTCTCGGGAAGGGGTTTGCCTTAAGTACAGTCTGAATAAGTTCAGGATGTGGTTCACATGATGTTAATTTTTCAGAAGTTTATGCTAAGCTGAAATGCATTGTCTGTTGTTAGTAACAAAACATAACTCAGGAGCAGAGCTTAGGTTGGACTAGTTCTTAACTTTCATTTCTTCTCAAAATCAGCAACTTTATTAATGGACTCCCTGTACCTGCAAACTGAAGATCCTCAAAATGAAACTGGGCTTTACTCAGTAACGCTAGGTTATCTATAAATCAGATAGATTTCGCTTCCTGATATGTCCTTCTAGTTGCTTGTTTTCTCAAAATTCTCATCTAATTTCTAAGTTTCATCTTGGCAATACCAAAGGTTAAAAAATGCCATAAATTAGAAAACATTTCAGGTTTTTTTAATTCTTTCTCTTTCATCACGTTGAGAAATTTCTTTCCAAGCTATACTGTGAGCTTTCAGAACTGGCTTGGGGGTGCCTAGTGCACTCTCAAAGGATGTAAGAACCAGATTTAGCAGCACAGCACAGCTGCCCTGCCAGAGAATCTTTTACAGAGAGAATTTTTATATTGAATCGTGGGACTTCCTTCAGAGCATGGTCCACAAATCTCTCATATGAAACGTGCCTCAGACAGATGCAGGAAGGAAAATCCTGTATATACGGCAATATATCTGAGCTGGCCAGAGGGTGGGAATTTGCAGGTAGATGAACTTCATGGAAAGCTCATTTTCAAGACAGTATTTCAAATATTCTTTGGATGTATAGTAATTTGGGAGCCTGAACTCTGACTGTAGAAGGTTTGATGCAATTCTGATGTGCTGAAAAAGCTTTTCTTGAAAAAGCAAGAACCTCTTCCTGAAATAACTTGTAAGGTTTTAATTTCCCCCTTTTTTCCATAGTTCTGAAATGAATGCTCTGTTCAGCTCTACAACAGAGACTTTTCCAGTGGTGCAACAACCAATACAACAGGTACTGCAGGAGGAAGGACTTGTCTAGGACTGAAAGGGCTAGAAGATCTGGGTCCTCATAGATACCACTATGCAGAATTGCGGTGTGCTCTTCGGTCACTGGCTAGTGACTTACTTGGTACTTTCAAATGTGCATGTGGGCTGCTGTGCTCATCCTTTGGTATTTGTATAGCACAGTAAACTCATTAGATAAAAACTGTTATAAAGAAGAGGACAATATAATTAGATACAAGTACAGATAGATTTTACTAGTTTCTGCATGTACCTGGGGATGTTCAGGTTTCCAGAGAGGAGACAATATCACTCCAGACTTCCAGGCATATCAGTTTTACTGTCAGCTGTAAACAGAGTATTTTTAATGTCCTGTTTTACTGAAATGGAAAAGTCTACCATAATCAAAACATACAGCAATACTTTTCTTCCCTTATTCTTCATAGCTGATAAAGTTGGGCTAATTTATGTGAGATTGTTTCCTAAAGTGGCACACAACATTGGTTCGACAGAAATGCTGAGTAGTCAGTTGTTCATATTTTGTTTTTATTCTGCTGTATAATGAGGTTTTGAAGCCAACGAATTATCCTAGCAGAATATTTAGAGCTTGGAATACAAAAGTAAAAATTTAGGGAAACATGGATCTCTGCTAGGAACAAACCTATCACAAATATTTGTTCATGTTACAGCTGAACCTGGCTTGCACTTTACATTGCACTTTCTTACATGCATTTTTTTATTCAATAGTTGAAAAATTGGAGTGGGGATTGGGGGATCCCTCCAAGGTAAGAAAGCATCTGTGCTGATATGGCTGCCTTTGTAAATATCTTTTTCTGTAGATATCTGTTGTACATAGATTTAGATATAGATACATTCATAGGTATAATTAGGGGTATAGACATTTGGTTAACTTGAAAGCTCCGAAGTGTCGTTTGTCACATTTATGGTAGGAACTTTAACTGCCTTAAATACTTATTCTTTTCCAAAGTGACTTTTTTCTTTTCCCTCTGCAAAAAAAAAAAAAATATCAAAATGTACTTCATGAAACTATTGTATATGAAGCACTTATTAGCCGTAATTAAATGGACAATATGAATTTACTACGTCTTTAGGACTCTGGCTTGTTCTGGTTTAGAGCAAGATGATTAATGCAAATACATATTACTTGAGATAACCATTTAGCAGCTAATTTAGCCAAATTTATTACAGCAGTTAGAGGTTTTTCATTTTAGCAGACGGAGACAAGGACATGACAAAAGCAGGTGGTGTATGTGAATGCACACTGCCCTCTAGTGCACAAAGCTTCACGGGATTAGTGAGAAATGCAGACAGTAAGTGCTCCAGCAACAACAGTACTCAGGTTTTTTTATAGTTTCAGTTTTCTCTAAAACCATACTGCTCCCTTCCACTGAAAGATTTGCATTTCATCCCCTTCTCCTGACACTGAAGCATCAGATACAAGCCAAATCCACTTCGACTTGGCAATATTTTGGCTGAAGTATTCCTTTAAACATCTGCATTTTTAAGCCTTGCTGTGAGCACTTAATAACACCGTTTCGCATTACTAATTGTTTTTACTTGTTTTTCTATTTCCTAGCATATTTCAGACATCGAAGAGAGCTGTCACTCTTTGGCTCTAACCAAGCCATTCTTAGGCCTCTTTCTCAGTCTGTTGGTGGATTTACTTTTCTCTGTTAGACAGTAAATTCTCCCAAGACTTTCCCCCCACTGACCAGTGGAGATTTGGTTCATCTGAGAACTGTAAATTCTGTTTGACGAGATCAAAGAAACAGATGTATAAGTTCAGTGGTTGATATCGCCTGCAATAAGGAGAAATGATCAAAGCAGCAGGGGTAGAGTATCTTCCCAAACCTTTCAAATATCCAGAATCTCAAAGAGGTCTACCTAGGAGCTATGAATAAATCACATATAAATTTGCCTCTTTTTTTTCCTTTTCTTTTTTTACAGTTTGACATTGAGTGCATTGAAAATGTCCACACAGCAATAAGTATTCTGTGAACCAAAGAGATTTGTAGCTCTTTCTACTTTTCTTCTTCTACTAGAGTTTCCAAAACAGATTAAAATTATACATTAAAAACTTGTAAAACATACAGCTATTTATACTGAACTTCAGATCCTGTTTGTCGTCTCGCTGGCATGCTGCGTTAAACCTCAAGGAAGCCAAGTATCCTCTGCTCATACTTGTGGCGCGTTGTACAATGAACATCATTTTACCACAGTTCTAACATGCACTATATCATGTTTCTGGTTTATTTGTATTTTTTTTTGCCAGTGCTGAATAAGGGTCAATGTGTAACAAAGTATTACCGCTGGATGCAGAAGAACGGAGGTTATATCTGGATACAGTCTAGTGCAACCATAGCTGTCAATGCCAAGAACGCAAGTGAGAAGAATATCATCTGGGTCAATTACCTTCTTAGGTAGGTCTTCCAGTCACTTCTCTCACTTGAACTGCTGTCTCTGTTGCTTGTCTCTGTTGGTGAAAGTTTTAGAGAAAAAACAATTCCCCTCTGGAGAAAATTAAGGAGAGAAACTTTTCATACGGTCCACCTCAAAAACAGTGCCATTTGGTTATATTTGTTGAGACACCTGTCATGTCTCAGTACACTGGAATATTCTCAAATTACTATGCTGCCCTGGTCTTCAAAGAAACCTTCCACTATTTTATTGCATGTCTCCACTGTCCTGAAATCTGCTCAACCTGAGCTCAAAGATAAAAATGATCCACACCAACTTTCACTAGTTCTGTTAAAAAATCTGGTGTGAAGTGTTGGGCACTGGTTTGTTTGGTTACTGAAAAAGCATGACAGCAAACTTCTGGTATGCTACAAAAAGGTCTCTCCAGAGAGAGGAATTTTCTCATGAGAAAAGCCTTGAACTAGTATATTGCTCCTGTAACCATCAGACACTATTCAAACTGAAAAATGCAAAACAAAATTTAAAAATAAAAGTAGCAATCAAAACTGTTTTAAACCATTAGAATTACTTTAAACAGCTATAGTAATAATATCTTGAATGAAAGACTCTTCCTTGAGAAATTCCGTTTTACTAAAGCCCAAGTATTTTTAAAGGATTTGTTTCTGAGCTCAAGGGAAGACCAACAGTCAGTGAGAGACAGTGAATTTTAAACCTGACCTTTCTCATCTGAAAATACCTTTCAATGCATTCTGTTTTGTGAAAATGTTCAGTAAGATTGGGGGATTTTCTGTTTCATTCCAGAGCAGAACAAGCAAACAAATAAAATTCGAAACCTTGAGATTGTCATGAAGTGCAATTGTCATTTTCTGGCCTGTTCTTCTTTTAAGTTGCTTGTCATGGTTTGTTACAGTCCCTTTGATGCCATGAGAGTTCAAAGTGATGTCTATGGGTTAGATTGTGACTTATTATGCCAAGTCCAGCAAGCCCTGAAGAGACACTGCCTGCCTAAACTTGCATGTTGAAATACTTTTGATTCCCCTTTTGGGGAAGGGGAGAAAGCAACCCCTGGCAGGAGAGCATTGAGGAATACTGTGGGAAACCTTCCACAGCAGTGGAGTGCTCATTGGGACTTGCATGTTTCTGTCCTGCTATGATTGAGCACGGGCATTTCTGAATATATCCTTATCCTTCTACATTTTGTCTCTTTTTGCAAGAGTGAGGCAGAAGGCAGCGTTTTAAGAGGTCAGCTTATGCTTGCCAATTCTGAGCTGGAAGTACGGCTTCACTGCTCCAGCCCTAACAGCGCTTCAGAATGTGCAGAAATGTGCTCATATTCTGTCTGGAAAAGTGGTCCACAAGAATTAGGGACAGTTGCCTATTTGCCCCTTTGCTGCTTTCCAGATAATAGGTGAACTTAGTCCACAAACGTCCCACAAAATTATTTTCTCTACCAACAGAGCACACATAACAAAAAAAGAAAAGTGGTGTGATCTTCCCCAAGTCTACTCCCAGAACTTGATTTTTCTGCTGCATTCCCTGCACTGGTCTGTTACAGAAAGGTTAACTTCTCCACTGAATTTGTGTTTTTAATTTAGATTTCTCCTAGTACTAGAATCCCCGAAAGATCCAAATGTCCAAATAATATTTTAATGACAGATCAAGGCATAATTAGGTCTACTCTTAGCAGGAGTACTGGTCTGTATACATTTCCATGCATTAGAAAGTATGATTCAGCTGTCTGTAAAAGGATAGACTAATTATAGTGACAGGGAGGATTAATGCTGTTCTTGTTCTAGCAACTTGTTATTCACAGTGTGAAAGCCCTCAAAACATCTTTTGCTTGGAGGGGGCAAATTTGGGGACTGCCCTGGGATGCAACAGAATAAAGTCACTTTGTCAGGACAAAACCATAAAGATGATAATCGTAAGAATGGCATTTCAAAGTGAACTGTGTGAACTTTGAATTTTCACAGTACACGGTAATAGGCTGAATATGGGCACACTGTCATTGTGAAAGTGTGTCAGTCACCCCCAGTGCTGCCTCATACTGTTCTACGCAGGACTGCGGATTTTCTGCTCTATCACCAGGCTGGAATTTGAACTGCATAGAAATGCTCACCTATTCAAAAATGATTAAAGACTTTGTTTACTTTCAACATTCCAATGCCACTTATGTCTAGCTGTGTCTATTCCCCTGCCTTTGCACAGATTTGGGAAAGGAACACATTTAAGAAGGTATAAACCAAGAAAAAGCATGGAGTCGGGGTATTTTTTCAGTTTCTCTGGTAGTGTAGCTTTTTTACATTGCAGTCATGTTCATTGCTAACAAGTCACAGGTGAGCACCACATGAGCAGATGAAGATATGATTATAATAGGTGTGTTGACAGTTCTTTATCCCTAACATATGCATCTTAACATGCACATGTGCATCTGTCATATAGTTAGAGTGGCTGCTTTTGGTTTCCTGGTGATGTGGATGCATGTGTGCAGTGTTTAAAAAACATATAACCTTTTTTATCTATTTTTTGGCCAAATTATTTTGAGCAATGCTCATTTTCTCTAGCCCTAACTGAGCATCTTCTTACTAACTTTATGTATGGTCTGCTTGATTAAAGTGTAGAAAACAGGAACATTGAGAAAAATGGGTATTGAAAGGGCTCTGGCAAGGTTGATAGAGAACATTGTTACAGAGATAACTCTAATAGACATTGCCGGTGGGAGAGAAACAGATTGGAAAAGTTAAAACACCCTCTCTGTCCTTCCAGGCACAGTAATGGGATCGAAATCAAGATATTTTGTTGTTAGATGATTACACAGTGTAGCTTTACTGTTAGATATCACTCGAGCCATGGTGTCCCACTTCAGTAAGAATGCTTTGATAGCTCTAAAACTTCACTGGACCCAAAAGAGTTTTAGTACCTGGTCAATATAAGTATTTGACAGCAGTATTAAAATAAACCTTCAGAAAATCCCTGCTGTGAAGCTCTGAGGAGCCAAAAATGTATGTTTCTGTACTTACTCTGCTATTCTTCCTATTTATGTTCTTCATTCCTGAGCTTTGATATGAAAAGAGGGAAAAAACATGAAACTGCAAATTGTCCAATTGTGTTTATATTTACTATCTTCTCTTCAGTAACCCAGAGTACAAGGACACACCAATGGATATTGCACAACTTCCTCATCTGCCAGAGAAAACCTCAGAATCCTCAGAGACTTCTGACTCTGAATCAGACTCAAAGGACAACTCAGGTAACACACGTGGTGTGCCTTTACACCCACAAAAGGTTCATATCATGAGAGCCATGTGGCTGGCGTTCCAGTTACTTTTACTTCTCAATGATTGTTCCATAATAACAACAATAACAACAAAAAAAAATCCTGTAAAATTAAATGGAAAAACACTAGCAAAATCTTTTAATGACCTCAACGTTTCCACAGTATATCCATTTCCTCAGTGTTTCTCTTCACTCTGCATACATCCTTGCCTACATTGCACTGAACTAAATATTCGATATCACAGCTAAGCTTCATGAACAGGTATTGTGCTTTGTGCAGAGGACCTGAGATTATAACAGTTGAATACAGTTCTAGTTCTTATCTTTCCAGAGTAGCATATGTTCCTAAGAAACGTCTCTACTGTCAATCTTTATGACCCTTTTTCCTGTATATTTTTGAAGAGTCTCGCTAGGGGGCAGTGAAGATTGCAAAATTTGAGGGTTTTCTTGGGTTAAAAGAATTATATTTTATTAGAAGATATGGGGTCAAGCATATGTTTCTAAGCTCTTCAAGTCTGGGACTTCAGCTGTTTTTCGAAAGCTAAATGCACTTGTCAAACTCAGTGTGTAAATTAGTCCTACAGGTGGTTCACACACTCCCTGTTAGTTTTAAAAACAGTTACCTAGGCACAGGTAACATCTGGCTTTGAAATGAGCATGGTTTCCTGTGGCCCAAGACCTAAGGGTGTCACTCTGCTGTAGTATACAATATATATATGATTTTTCTCTTGGGTCTATGATAACAATCCCAAAAAAATCTGGAGAAAATGGATCACGGTGGCATAAATCAAGCAAAAGCAAGAAGAGGATCAGGCCTTAATATTATATTATATGATATGGCTGTTCTCTTTGATCTTTTGTCTTTTTTCTCCTTTGACAGCTTGGTTTGTCAAGTCAACATTATGCACACATATAGGCTTGTTGTCCACCATCATTGGGAATCTCTTTACCCATTCCCAGTGCTTCCTTTATGCTGTCTTGTTCCTAATTAGCCAAATAACATACACGTGGAGAACAGTTTGCATTTCCCATGTGCACTGTAAGATTCTCCAGGTGAGAGGTGCATTTGCATTCATGACTCCTAAGGCTGATGCAGAGCAAGAAGGCATTCTTCAAAGGTGCACAGATGTGTACATTTCAGAAGGAGATGTCTGGGAGTCTTGGAAGACATCAGAGGCAAGGGGTTGTTTCTTATAAAATCATTAAATAGAAATGCCAAAGGATATGACATCGGAATAGCATCTTGGATTAAACCAACAAGTTCAGTTCAAGCTCTGATAAAATCCCAGGCAAATTTTGTGCAGCTTTATATCACCTCACCCTAAGCCCACTCTTGGCCACCTAGAAACCATGGCCTTAAAAGAAAGCATCTTCAAAAAAAAAAAAAAAGAAAAAAAAATGTAGGAGAAATTCAACCCTAGATGGAACAAAAAGCTGCATGAGATTTAGGAGTTTGTGGCTGTTACTTTGCTTCTGTGGGTTTTATTTTTCAAAAGGGAGGGTCTCTCTGCTGATGGTGACTCAAGCAAAAGTCCTGCTAAGTGACTTGTGAAGTGCATTGCCCTGAATCCTCAGGCAGCTCCCCCGCCAAGCCCACCTTCTCCAGCACTTTTGGGAAACTGTTTGGTATTGACATGGCTCCAGGAGAAACCTAATCTTTAGATGAAAACTGTCCCTTCCCCTCTCCCCTTAAAACAAGTGTATTGAAGAGGGTAGTACTTGGCTCTGATGAGTGAAAAAACATCTTTTATTTCCCAATAAAAGATTTCTGGCTAGTCTGTAAAAGACAAGGTCTCCTGAAGGCTTTCATGACCCTTTGAAACATAGCACAATAATGGAGAGTATTCAATCTCAAAGCTGCTTTGACCATCTGAGTCCAGTGGGCTAGAGTGTTTATTTCATCTGTATTAGAATTAGGTAAAATCTAAAACAGAACTAAATGAATTCAGGCAAGACAAGTGACAGCTTCTCAGTGCTGTAGCTAGGTTATTTTCAATGGTCCTTAGATTATTTGAGTCAATCAAGAGTTTAATTCACTGCCTGCATATTTTTTCTGGAGTTTTTTTAATTGTTGCCCTTCAGGGCAATATGAGAAGACAGTCTAGCAATGTAACAACATTGTCATAACTGGTTTATTCATTCAGATTTATACATGTATGACCTGCTTCTCCTCTCACATGGGAGGAAATCAGCAGTAATTCCACTGAAGTCAGAGATGCTATGCCGCTTCAAAAGTGGCAATGGTGAGAGGAAAATGAGATGAAGGACTAGAATCTTCCTTAGTACATAGTGCTACACCTGGATGCCTGCCCACTGTAGGAGAACATGGATGAGAAAGAACAATCACTAGAACATAACAGTCATAATGGGATTGTTCACTGACTCCTCTTTGGATGACACAGCTACAATGCCGTTGTGCTCACAGTTGTCAGAATGATTCTTGTCCAGCAAGCAGATGAAAAGGCCCCCCTCAATCAAGGTGCAGGCCATATAGCATAGGCTTTTAGTGCATTAACAGTCCTGAGTCAGAGAGATTCCTGGTGACCGAAACACTCCGGACACAACGTTGCAAAAAACTGTGGCTCTACAGAAGAGAACGCCTTTTGCCAACAGAGTTTACAGTAATAAAATCTCATCGGTAGGTCGAAATTTGGACTTGGGTTATATTATATTCTTGTTGCTAATGATTTGTTTCACTTTCCTTTTGCTCCAGAGGACAATGAGAACTCAAAGTCAGATGAGAAAGGAAACCAGTCAGAAAACAGTGAAGACCCTGAATCCGACAGGAAAAAGTCAGGAAATCAGTCAGATAATGAAATGAACTGTAATGATGATGGGAACAGCTCCAGCAACCAGGATAGCAGAGACAGTGACGACAGCTTTGAAAACTCTGACTTCGAGAATCAAAAGGCCCCTGAGGACAGTTTTGGCACTCTTGGCTCTATGCAGATCAAGGTGGAGCGCTATGTTGAGAGTGAGTCAGACTTGCGGTTGCAGAACTGTGAATCATTGACCTCGGACAGTGCCAAGGACTCAGACAGTGCAGGGGAAGTAAATGCCCAGTCTTCCAGCAAACATCAAAAGAGGAAGAAGAGGAGAAAAAAGCAAAAGGGAGGCAGCATGACCCGGAGAAGGCTGTCAAGCACCTCAAGTCCAAACGGACTTGACTCAGCTTTGGTGGACCAGCCCCAGCTGCTCTCGTCACCAAACAGTGCCTCAGTGCTCAAAATTAAAACAGAAATCTCAGAACCTATCAATTTTGATAATGATAGCAGTATTTGGAATTACCCACCCAACAGGGAAATCTCAAGGAATGAATCACCCTACAGTATGACCAAGCCCCCCAGCTCCGAGCACTTCCCTTCCCCCCAAGCCAGCAGTAGTTTACATGTCTCCATTCCAGACTCTGTTCTCACCCCGCCAGGGACTGAAAATACTGCCAGCCGTAAAACTCATTTCAGCACCTCATCCAACTCGGCCTTGGCTCCTGTGTCCTCTGACCCTTTGTCACCCCCACTTTCAGCATCTCCACGGGACAAACATCCAGGAGGTCCCACAACTTCCAACTCTTTGTTGTACACTGGGGATCTGGAAGCCCTTCAGAGGTTACAAGCAGGCAATGTGGTGCTTCCTTTGGTTCACAGGGTAACGGGAACCCTTGCTGCGACCAGCACTGCTGCTCAGAGGGTCTACACCACTGGCACTATTCGGTATGCTCCAGCTGAAGTTACTTTGGCCATGCAGGGCAACCTCCTCCCCAACACCCATGCTGTTAACTTTGTTGATGTTAACAGCCCCAGCTTTGGGCTGGATCCTAAAACACCGATGGAAATGCTCTACCACCACGTTCACCGACTCAACATGTCGGGACCATTTGGAAGTGCTGTGAGCGGGGCCAGTCTGACCCAAATGCCTGCAGGGAATGTGTTCACAACTGCCGAAGGACTTTTTTCCACTCTTCCATTTCCTGTGTACAGCAATGGCATTCACACTACACAGACTCTGGAACGGAAAGAGGATTGAAATATGACCACATACTGTGTTCAGTGTTATACTCTGAGGCATAGACTATGTTTTCATTTAGACCTTTAATTCTAGCACTTTGAATTTGAGCAGGTCAGCTTATTCTCTCAATATGATGGTCCCCATTTCATTCCCTTTCTCTTTAACTTGACTTATTCTTTAATGTAAAGATATTTTTTTATTTTTGCCTTCAGAGAGTCGAAGTACCAGTTGCCTGCCATTTTGTCTTCTTCCAAGATGTGTGTTTTTTCCTTTGCATCTTTATTAAGATGCCTTTAATATGTGTATGCCTCTGCCATAGAATACTCAGTGTTGTGGTAAAGAGATTTTAAAGTGACAACCATTGGTTTAACTTCAAAATGATCTTGATATGATCAAGATTAAAAGAGACAAGCATAAACAATGTGCCCTGTTTGACTAAGTCAAATGAAAAGGGGTTTTTGTTCCTAATTCCTTTAAAAATAGGGGATAGTATTTTAGAATTTTATGCAGAGTTTAATTCTCTTTTTATGGTTAAGATTTTCTTACTTGCACATAAAATAATTTCGGTTCTTAAAAAGTTAATTTCTGGCCTGTGACTAGAATGTTAAAAAGTTGGACTAAATGTTAATTACTGAAACTTTAACTTAATTTCTAAAACCATGGTGCTATCATTTATTAATCTGTAATGTCTTCATACAATATGCAGCTTGTGGGCTGGGTTTTTTGGAAAGAATGTGTTCCGTACTGGTTTATAGTAGGGTGCTGCAGTCTCCTTGGTTAGTTAAGACAAAAGCCCTCATTAACATTTGCTGCAGGACTTAAAATTTTTTACCTCCAAACTAACAAGCATAGCCTCACATCAAATTTAAATGGGTCAAGAAGCCTTTTTCAAAAAGTGCTTAAAAAAAAAAACTCAATTTAATTGACGCGAGGAGCAGTTTCTTAGGTGCATATTGTTTTGCTTTATTTTTTTCTCAGTGTAACTGAGGCTAATTTTAAAACATCAAGTAACACTTCGGAGTAAAAAAAAAGCGGAAGAACTATTTAACATGTTTTGATTTTCATTTAATATTATAGAGGGAAGGTTGTAAATTTCTTTTTTTTCTTTGATTTGGGTATTTTTTGTTGTTTTTTCCTTATTTCTAGTGTTGAAACCAATATGTTTTAAAACTAAAGAATGGGTTAATAAGCTTGAAATAGATAACTACAACTGAAAACTGCACATTAAGTAAAAGAAAAGAAATCTCCTATTTTGTCTTTGTTGCCAGAAATCACAGTGTAGTGTCAAACACTCCAAATGACTGTCAAATATAAATTCTTCTTCCACTCCATCTTTGGCAGCTGTTTGTTAAGGCATCTAATAACAGATGTGAGAACTGTAATGTGTACAATGTGTAAGTGTCCTTGGCTGTCAGTCCCATTGCAGTTTCAATGTGTGTTACTATATGCAGTATATACTAAGCTAATGTAGTTGTTTTGTCCTTTGTCTTCTCTGTGCTTTATCTCTAGTCCGGAGTGGTAAAGTCCCATTCCTGCAGTCCTAGTGAACCAGTGATTCTTGGGGGTTAGTGGTTTTTGTGTGGTGGCCTTCCTCTGTAATGTCACCTTATGCTGCTTCCACTGTCTGTATACCCTTTAATTTCTGCTGTTGCTTTGCTGTTGTGTATTCTCAAACCTCTCTCTCCCCCTTCCTCTCTCCCCCCTGCTCCACACTTTCCCCTCTCTCTTTCTCTCGCTCTCTCGTTCTCTCTTCTTCACTCTCAGAGATAAAAGACTCTTAACTAGCTCAAGGTTAATGGAGCCATTTTTCCCACAGAGGAATTCTGGGTATGACTTACTCTTCCAGTGTACCCCACAATGCACTACAGAGTAATGCTCAGATATATTAAGCAAATTGATGCCATATAGCCTCAGTTGTTAACATTCCCAGAGTCCCTTGTGCTCGAACTGTAAGCAGAGGGTGCATTTCTTTGGTTTTCTCCCAGGTAGGCTGGCGGAGTAATACGTAGATCGATTACCAGTGAGATAGGAAATGCTTCCAAAGGTTGACCAGCATTGTTTGAAAGGGAAACGGAGCTTAGAATCGTCGTATATATTTGCTTATGTGTGCAATGCTAATATATTAACTCGGCTGTCCTTTGAATTTTTGATCACTCACTGCGTGGAGGCAATTCCTGCAGTAGCTTTGAATTTGAGAAGCAGGTCCAAGCCACAGCGGAGTAATAGGGAAAAAGGAATTGGACGCCACAGATTTAATTCATGAGCTTTTAAAGGTTCCATTGGAAGGATTTAAGCAGGTCTAAAAAAGGCGAGAAAGCTGATTGGGAAATTCAAAGTTTAATTTTGGAAGCTCTGCTCTAGCTATGGAACGATCAAAGGAGTGCACCTATCAGCTACAAAGAACAGCTAGACAGCTGTTGTTGTTTTGGGTTTTTTTTATAAATGTTTCTGTGTTGTGTCAAAATGATTTCTGGTGATTTAAACTAACAGATAATCACAGCTGCTGTCTAAATCCATAGTGTTTAAAATTACAAAATGAAAAAAAAAAAAAAACTTCATTACCTGTGAAGACTGTGTCTGTGTTTTTAACTATTTCTTGTACAAATATATGAAATCTTTTATGAGGAGACTGGTGCCAAGTAGCTGAATAATGGGGAAAGGGATTCTGTTCGTATAAATCTTAGCAGTGTTACCAACTCTACAATATAAAAAAAATTAAAATGTTAAAAAGTGACAGCTATGGTACATTTATTTTGTGTTAAGCTAACCGAATCTAACTTCTTGAGTGCCTGGCTTATTTGAAACATTTTTTTCATTGATCATTGATAATGCTGCAAATCAGAAATGTACATACTTCATTTACAACAGGGTTCTTTTTATACTTTTGTAGATTCTCATACATGTCATACATGGTTGTCTTTATGTAACTTAATTTTTTTTCATCCCGCAGGTGCCATTTTCATAATAAACTTCTCTTGGATTTGTTACTATCTGGCATCATTTCTTTTACATATAACCATCCTGACTAATGAATGCTGGTAGTATTTGTTTGAGCAGGTATTTTTTAATTGTTTTGTTTAAAAAAAAATAACTAAAAAAAACAAGAAAAAATAACTAAAAATCAAAGAGGATAAAGCTAGATTTTATTAACGCTTGTGAAATGAAGAAAAGAAGCTGTCGAGATGTAGGTCAAGAATGCTAATCCAAATACTACAACAAACTTGCCACCATCCTAAATTCTCAGCTACCCCAACTCATCGTCATATTGAGCATTTTTATGCACATTATCAAAGCTGAATAATGGACCTGCAACATTAACCACTACAGAAAGTGTGCATTTTTTCTTGATTAATGCACACTGGAAGACGTCAGCTTTTGTACATTAATCATTTAAAATGCACTTTATATTTTCATTTTTGTACTCTACAATATTACAGTGAAACTTCACATTATATCCTGCATAGGCTGCTGATTCTTTTAAATGTGTACTTTCTTTCCCCATACTGGCAACATGTAAGTTGTTGGTGTTGTGTAGCTAGACTTTCTGCCTTACAAACTGAGCACACAAACATTTACCAGTGTGGAAAAGGCAAGGCAAAAAGCCTTGACCTCACAACTGAGAGGGAAAAAAAAAAAGTCAAATACAATTTTGATTACGCAGACATCTGCACATGGTGGTTGACCCTATGAAGGGAACAGCTATCAGCCATTACGCCTGCATAAGTTCTGAAAAAAGGCCCAGAGCCAGTGTGTTTTGTCTCTGCTGTGGAAAGCAGGGAGAAGCTCTGCTACAGGACATGCTGCCCCAGGTACCCACCGCTGTGTGCTGACTCTGGCAGTGGCTGCTCCACATGCAAGGAGGGGCTGGTCGTGGCAGGAGAGGGGAGTGGGAGCCTTCTCACCCACCGCTCACATGGTCTCTGCATTTCTCCTTCAGTCTTTGCATTCTTTCCAGTGCCTACCTCGCCTGCGCGAGGAATTTCCAGATTCCATATTTTATTTTGTTATTGCTCTGTGTGCAATCTCTAAGAATGCAAATTTTGGGCATGTAAAATCAAGACAGTGCTGCCCATGGCCAAAATCTGTACGCAACTTTGGGTGCCCAAATCTTTTCTAGTCTGTATGTCCGCTTAGAAATGAAAACTATTGGGCTAGTCATTCTGGACCAGATTTCGGTTGCCTTCTTAGTGCTGAGGAAAACTGTTTAATCTGTTGCACAGTTTCCCGCACACCTTTTTACAGCAAAAGATACACTCAGCTGAAGTACGAGCATGTGAATCTGGCTTGCTGGGCTGATAAAACAAACAAACAAACAAACAAACAGAAAAAACCCCACAACAAAATGTATGCATAGTTATAGCTTGTTGAGCCAGCCCGATGGCTTAATAGGCTGAAGCCTGGCTCTTTGAGTTTTCAAGCGTCAGCATTCCCTCTTCCCAGGCTCCAAGCGCTGGGTTTGATATGTCTCCAACTTGCAGGGGGTAGAAAGGAGCAGAGGTTAGCGGGGCTGCTTTCAGCTCTGCTCACATGTTCCAGTTGGCAATGCATCTTGTTTATGAGGTAGCTAAGGGTATGGATGCCAACCAAGAGGAAAACAGAATTTAAATGGAGATTGGAAGAATGACCAGAATAAAGTTTAATGGAAGAACAACATGTCTGTTCCAAATGAGTGTTAACCAATATTAACTAAAGGCACTAATCCCTAGAAAGGACTTGAGGAGGCTGTTTCCAAGCTCTTACGAAGGCTTTTTAAACCTCAACCATACTGCCTATATACTGTATCAGAGCACAGGGTTGATGGTCAAAGTGAACAGACTGCTTTAAGACTTCCTTCCAGTTGAACGAGAAAATTTGTGTCTTAAAGAAAATGATGGAAAGGCTGTTTCATGGGTTGTTCTTTTATAGTGATGCTGTTGCATCGATATAGCTCTGGGGAATGGATTTTGTAAATTATTATTTGTAGCAAATTTCAGAAACAAAACCAACTGCTTGAAAGAGTTGAATCCTTTGAAAATGGTTCTTTGGGATTGGTCTAGTTGCTATTTTTATAATATTTGGAGGCAAAACAGTTTGGCAGGCAGGAAGCTAGGCAAATTTCATCAAGTCATTTTGTCAAAGAACATTTCCTAAAACAACTGATCTCAGTAACTGCCATGTCTGGAGAGTTTGCTGACAGACTTGTTTTGCAAGGTGGTATATGCAGTTATCTAGAAGCCACCTGAAGAGTTGCAAGGGGAAAAGGGCTCTTTTGAAGCGTCATGACTCTGAAAAGTTACAGTGATAGAAAAACATTTCAGGACTGCTTAGATAACTAGCTCTGACAGCTTGCACTGGTGCCATTGCAAGGTGGTCATGTCACCAGAGTAACAGTGATGCCCCTGACAGCACATTTATTGTTATGATTCTAGGAACTGAATTAGTTTAAATGTGTTAGTGCTTTCAGAACTATTTGCATAGTATTTTTCCTTCTTGCCATTGTAATCTCTTTATTTTCATTTTAGGGCTGGGGGAGGAGGGTGGAAAGGCTGGATGTGCATTGTCAACTAATTTAATGAACTGTCATCTATCCAGCAAGTTTACTGAGGAGCCTACAGAAATGTGAACAAATGGGATGTTGCCAGAGTCACAGATGCTCAGGTAAGATCAAACCATTTATAAAACATACACATGCATGCACAGAGATCCATTACTTCTGAAAGCCAGTTGGGCTTTCAGACTGGGCAGGGTAGTATCTATGTATATATACATAATAAAGGTCCCTTCTTCCTCTCTTCCACCTATTCCTTCGTCTTTTCAGTCAGTACTGGAAGCTGCTATTCTCTCTCTCAGAGTAAGTAGTGTTTATAAAGTGTAGGAACAGGTATATTTTACTGGCTGAAATAGCACTCCTCTAATAGTGTTGAAATAGTGATTCCTCTAATAGCTTTGAAATTTCCAAATAGCTCTCAAGACCAAATTTTCAAAAAACATATCCAATCGCTTCAAAACTTTCTTTCACCAAATCAAACAAGATCTTTCTGAAAGCAATAGG